AAGAAGTACAAAAAAAGTTTTCGTGTCATAGGCACTTTAAGCCTTGAGAACTGTGGATAGAAAGGGGAAAGATTTACAGTAGTCAGGAACACAGCTCAGTGTCATCTAGCAACATCCTGAATCCTTCACAACTCAATATCCAAAATTCACCACATCGTTACGAGACAGCAATAAGCACTGGCGTTATTCTTGTCGTGGAAAACGTAGATCCACAAAGTTTTTTCTTTTGATCCTTGAAAATGTCACTTTCCTCTCCTTACTGGTCCACTTGCAAACAAAGCATAAAGTAGTTGTTTAAATTGCTACATTAAATGAGTCTTCAGGGAGACTGACGGAAGAACCCACTTGAGGCAAGGATGAATCTCCCGCCATAATTATATTACTATCCTGGGAGACGACTACTTCCACGTCTGCTACCACGTCTGGACCAAAGATAAAAGAGCATTCCGTAAGACCATGATACAACAGCTCTTAATCCTTGGATATTTTCAGAAAGGAATACGAACAATTTTTAATTTGTGAGTACTGAAAATTTTGAAAGATATTCTTAAAAGAATATCTTTCAAAAATTTCGGTACCCACAGAAGTTACTCGACTCTACCATTACCACCTTTATCAATTCACACCTGTAAACCAATCCAGATTAAAATGCCATTTGAGGATCAGAGGTCTTAACAGGAAGCTGTCCAGAGGCAATTGAAACTTCAGTGATAAAATCGCAAGAGTTGAGAAGGTAAGAGGAAAAGCCATCCAAGGTCAGTCAGTCATCAGAGCACAATGCAGGGGTTTCGTTTCAGGCTGGCCGCCGGACGCAACGTCCGGTTGTTTGACATCTATCGTCCGGTAGTTCACACACGAAATAATAATTTTTTTAAGTGTGAAAATCGTTTTTTCCATACATTAGCCAAAGAAAGACTTGACCCCTATTTTACTAACTTGGTCATGTAATGTACACAATCGAAAAAAAAGAGATAATCCCTGTCATACACATGCAAGATAAAATCATTATTCATCATTTCCCATCCCTTCCCCCTCCCCTGC